AAACCACTTAAAAAATTTGTCTCGTAAATGTCGATGCAGAGTCATTTTGTAGCTAGTCGATATATTTTAGTAGCCACCTACGAGACAACTTGTCATAACCCAGAAGATCATAGTCCTTGCTATTCACGTGTTTGAAGAAATTTGAATTATTCGCACTTGTAGTTCTTGCAGAACATTGTTCTCGGAGCTAAAAATTAAGTAAATAAATTATCTGCGTTAAAAGGCATATAAAGTCATATCTTATTATATGGGGATTAACGACTATTTCAACCGGCACGGTGGTCTAGCGGTTAGAACACAGCTTGTAATCCTGGGGTCCCAGTTTCGATTTCCGGCGGTGCTCAGATTTACAACTTCTGTTGGGCAAGGCCGTGGTACAGGCATCACGGAGTTTTCCCTCGGTTTCTCCCTACAATTACTCCATTTTCATCATCATTTCGCAAAAAGGGGGTCGCAGCAGGAGCGTTAAATGTCGCGGTCCCGATCGAACCCATGTACTGATGGGTTGTGAATCCTGCTAACAACCGATGCACACCTTGCTGAATGTTGTGTACTGGACACGAAAAAAGAAACTATTTCAAGTTATACATAATCTGAATTATCTAATATCAAATTAGTGAGAATTTACTGTGTTTACATGGTGTAATATACCGAGTTTAAAATACAATTACGAGTAATAATTGAACGTGTTGTAAAGATCTTCTAATTATACGTGGATAGAAGTACCGTGCAGTTTGTATTGATCACCTTTGGTGAATCTGAGTACGGTACACTCCCTATTAACCGGGTTGGTTAAGAAATATATTTTCTCAGGTAATCATAAAAATGAAAGAAAAACATGCAAATGTAACAGACGTGTAAGTTTGAGACATTCACTGCTAAAATTTTTAAAGTGATTCCAACGGATAGTTACACTTTTATCATAAACTTAAGGTTATAGCAGCAATGGGGTCAAAGTGGCCGGGTGGTCTGAGGCGCGGGCCTTGTGCCACTCGGACCATGAGTTCGAATCCCACTCAAGCCATGGATGTTGTGTTGTCCTGTGTGCCTTGCGACGGGCCGATCCCTCGTCCAAGGAGTCGTACCGAATGTCTAATAGATCAAGCCAGCGAAAAGTTGGGACCCGCAGTGCTCAGGCACTTGAAGAACAGGTCGTTCCCAGTATAACAGCAACTGATTTATGTTAATACATTAAATATGTAATTGTGTTTATTTATCTCTTTTCGATGTTCTAACGTTAACAAAAGGCTTTCTGAATTAATTTTTAATTTTAGTTTTAAACCACAAAGACCCCACTTAATTCTGCCCCTGGATAATCGGAAGTCTACCGTACTTTAAACTTATCCTCAAGTACTGTAGCGCTGTATTTGTGCACGTGTTACAGGTTGAGTGAAGGCCCGAGATATGCACAGACCACAAAACTGTCTTCTTTACAACCTCCACTGCCTTCCCTAGTGAGTACAACTGCCAGTAATTCCCATGTCGGGGTCACGGTTCAGCCTCGGTCGTACCCCTTCAGCTCGATGCGGGTCACTTCGACCCATATCACCCCAGATCCCGACACTGTACATAGACTATGGAACGACCAAAGGGCTAGGGGGAAATTGAGTGGCAGGTTGGTTGCTGGGGCTTCCAATGATGGTGGCGGCTTGGCTTGGATGTCTCCCGGGGCTCCGCCCTTGGGTACCTACCGCACTTTGCCTAATTCTACAACCCCTACTGATGCTAACATTAATAATAACTGGAGTGGGAGTATTAGAAGCACCCGCAGTGGGGATGGAGGTACTAGAAGAGGTCCACTTTACTTCAGGGGTCACCAACCCAACACTTCTGGCATTCTAAGGGACTCCAATAAATTCAATGTGAGTATTGAATTTGTGATATGGCTGTGAAGTCGCATGTGGTAATACTTCATGTACGTGTTATTGTAAAATTGTTATTATTTAATTAAAATCATATGGCTTGCTTGATTTTTTTGAGTTCATGAGGTATCGCCACCATTTTAATGCAGTATTTTTTATTATAAGTTCTATATTCTTTGTCCTTGTCACTTTGCTTGATGGAATTTTACACTTTTTTTTATTTTACGCCTTGGAATTGCTCTTATTTTAATCTTGATTCTTGCGTTATAGCTTTACAGTAGATACTCTTAGTGCATTATGCATCCTTCCTTCTTGCATTGCTTTCAAATGTAGAAATAGTTAATAATCCCCACTTTTAGTTACACGCTAACAGACTGTACAGACTAGAACTGACTCGGACCGGTATGACATTACTTCATATTCTTTCACCTGATGTACAATATCTTTGATGGAGGTACAAGAGAAAAAAACAGTATTCTACAACGTACAGATACACATTATAACCAATTCCAAAATTAACACACCAATTCTGAAATATGACAGAGATCTTATTATGTAGATCTCAGATCAAGACTCTGTGGACTGTAGGAAGGGGAGAAATCTTTAAAAAAAAATAAGGGGGCTTTTAATATAGGTATACTTTGGATTTAGAGTTACATGTGTGCAGAAGAGCCAAAGATATTCCATATCCTGTTCTGAAAATGGAAAGAAGCATGTAGCATAAGGATCGTTAGAATGTGGGTTGGATTCCTTAGCAAAATGGCTGAGGGCCTGTGTCTAAGCTTCAGAGCTAAGCTTGTTGGTTGTGTGGTGATGATGCAGCAGACGACGGGAGTGACGGACGCACGACCGAGACGAGGAGGCTGGGGGGACCTCCGGGGAGGGGGCGACGCAGGACTCGCGATGACCACGGAGCTGCAGAGGTCGCGCTCAACCAGCTTAGAGCTAATCCTCTCACCTCTCATACAAAGCACGTACCAGTGAGTATCTGACCCCCACTACCTGCTCGCCTGCTTGCTCGCCCACCTGCCTGCTTGCGTACGTCTTCCTCTGTTGTGCATCTCTCCCTTGCTGACTGGCATTCAGGAACATCGCTTTGAAGACGGCTGTCTCCTGGGATGTTGTGTCATGTAATTTAGTGGATATTGAATGACGTTTCGGAGGTATTTACTGCCTCCATCATCAGGGCAATGATGGTGGAGGCAGGTATCACCTCTTTTAATATCAGTCGGTATCTACCAGTCTACACTGCGCAACATCCCAGAAGACAGCCTTCTTTATACTTCTCACTGTGAGGACCTGAAATCTCAATATTTCACATTGTTCCTGGATTGCACACCTAATGTAGCAGCTATGTCGAGTCACTTCCCTATCTATCTACATCTGCTGTCGATAATTTTGAAATGCACTCGGTGGTGTACCCACATTAGGAAACATTGATCATTTTAAAAGTTGACAAGTGGTAATTATTTCCATTACATTCCACTACTGTCGCTATAACATTAGTAGTTATGTAATAGTTTTCTTCATCAAAATTTATTTAAGAGGAAAAAAATCCATCAGAAGAGATAAGCTAGGTTACTCTATCTTAACACTTTCCACACTGAAATCCCCAGAAAAAAAAGTTCTATGTTATAGTAACTTACAAAATTATTTTACAGGATGCAAATGGTTAGCTTGGCTATAAACAGATGGCAGGATAGGTTTCTTCACACAGATAATGCCACACACCACAGATGTGAAGGGAAGAAGGTTTAGTTTCAAAGCGGTATATTTCATTCAGTGTTAAATAATGTGACTCTTTTATTGTAAAGAATTAGACAGCATATACTCAGATATTTGACCTTGAAATAAAAAATTCCTTCTCAGACCATTAAATTAGAACATTATCTGTTAACTTGTAGCACTGGTGTTAACTTATTGTTTATGGAAATGATATTGCATGCAGCATGCACTAAATTATTGTTTAATCATGCTTTGTTGTTTATTTTAATCATATGTGTTGTTTAAAAGTGAGGTTATAAATTCATAATTTTTCAGCTAGTTTCCTCTGTTTAAACACTCTGTATGTTGATACCTGGTATGATACACTTATTGCAGACAAGCACGGTGATTGGTTCTTGCTGGACCAATGATACAGCCACTATTCGAGAAGATGATGAATCACAGGACCCGGTACAATTTAGCTCACCGATACGCAAGGCAGCCAGTAGCAGTGATGGGACTCGTCTCGCTACGAACGCGACGCATCGGACTAGCACAAGTAATGGCGTACAGGAAGTCACTCATGAAATGAGTACAGAATTATGAGCGGAGTCCAGCAGTTCAACAGACAACGTTAACTGTGAATTTATAAGCAATCCAACCAAAGTAACTAAAAATATTAAAGCAAGATGAAAACTTTTAATAATTTTAAATTCTCTGTGTGATCATGCAGAGAGAGTGCCATGTCGTCACATTCTTAAGTTTAGAATCACTTACATGAACGTCGTTTACCGGCAATAAATAAAAATGGCGTAGACGTTAAATCATACCCGTGATGAGTTAAGATTATGTACTTAAAATACAAGTCGTCACACATGAAATTTTGGTGCAGCGTGTTCGAAATGTTACTAATAATGCCTCATTTCTGTATATAGACTTGTCAGGTCGGTGTGCGTGCGTGCGTGGTGCGTAGTTTGTGTCCTGTAAATAGGCATGGCTGAGCTGTACATACTGGAGGTTAAAATGTTGCTGTCTTAACAACATTTTCTCCGTTATTTATGGCGTAGTGTGTTGGTAAGGTTTTCTTCATTCTGAGGTGGAGGCGGATAGGTATCGACGCGGAGATGCTGCAAAACACATTAAAACGTGTCATCACTTGTCAGCAAAATATCACTTAGATCAGCTGTTCAGATAGAGAAGTCGTACTCTACTTCGGAGGACACGCAATTTTTAAAATGTGTTCTTTGAAGTTGTTCTTCTCTCCTTTTCGATGTTCGTTGCGCGCACGTGCGTGTCGTTCGCAGAACCAATCGACATCGGAGGACCTGGCTAATTTGCTAAGAGTCGGTTACAAGAACAGTCAACAGTACAGATATTGCGCTGTGCGGTGACAAATTTTTTCCTGTATCCCATTAAATCTGTGCATCATATTTAAAAATATTTATATCTAGCGTAAAAAGCCCATCGTACCTTATCCTTTACCCCCCCTTTCTTTCTATATGAGTTTTATGCTTCCGTCTTCCGGTGCCTAATATTTTCTTCCATTCTTCTCTATTTTCCCATCCTTCCGGAGGTAGTTTCCACTCTTATCATGGTTCTTGTAATTCTGTCGTTCCATCCTGATCTCAGTCTTCCTCTCTTCCTTCTCTCTTTTGGTTGCCATTTTATAGTCTTCTTTGGTAACCTTTCCTCCTCCATCCTTTGCACGTGTCCGTACCAAATCAGTTGTCTTTTCTCGATCCACCCTCATGATTTCTCTAATCCTCTCTCTCTTCTGGATATTCCAGCCGCTCTTCTTAGGAAAACTTTTAAATATAAATATATGAAACACACATTAAATATTAATATGGTACTGCGTAATTTTAACTCGGAACACTTTGTAAGTTAAAAAAATTAGCTTTGCTACGTCGATATTTTTCCCAAGGTTAGTTCCCCTTTAAATATTTCCTTTGCGAGTGCAAGCAAACGCAGAATCGTAAAACTGACTTTCGTGTAATGCGGATAAAAGTTTGATATTTGATGCCGAAAGTTATAGTAGATTCGGTGTTACTTGAAAAATCATCAAAATATAACTAATAATGTGATGTAATCAGTGATTACATGGATTAATTTCACACTCTTATAATTGACTATTTCCTGGATATAAATGTTCTGTAGCTCCAAAAATTGAACTCCTGGAAAACTGGATACAAATTTCCTGTTCTGCGTTGCGTTATTATTCTGGTTTCATGACACTGGTCGGTAATGCAGCTGCTCAGTCGGCACGCGCGTGCAGAGCATTTCGCAATCTGCGGTCGCTGCTGCCACTCGACAACCCAACTTTTCTCTCACTCCTGGGGATAACTCTTTAAGTTTTACGGTCATGGGAACGTGTGAAAATAATGACGTCGTATACTTCAAGGCAGACTTTCGTAAAAATTAATTGTCCATTTAATAAAGATTAAAATTATTCATTGGGTTTAAAAAAACAAAACATAACCATGGATTTTTAGGATTACCAAGATTTTAACCCGTATTAATTTGAAAATTACTTTTTAATGTTTACTCTGTATTAACTGTATTTACCGTGTTACGTACTTTAAGCCACTGCTTCCCAAACTTTTTCCTTCATTACCCGAAACCGCTTATCAGAAAGTCCTTTTTACCCGATGTAGGTAAAACGCTAACTGCACAGAAAACGACAAGCGAAGAGAGATCGGTAACAAATAGGACGCAAACAATGTTTTGTGCAATGTCTTTACAATCCACTGATATATAGACGTTTCTAGTTCAGGAAAGTATTCCTTGAAACGCTATCATTTTTTCACTTGCAGAAATCATATTTTCTTTTCTTCCTTGAAGTTGCAGATTGAGTGCGTTCATGTGAGAGAAAATATCAACCAAATAACTAAACTGAGCTAACCACTTCGTGTTGGAAATTACGGTAAATTTTAACGTGTATTCCGAAGTGTGTCGTTACCCAAAGAAAAACACCTTTTACCCCTTTTTGGGTAATTTACCCAGGTTTGGGAAGCAGTGCTTCAAGTGGTACATTTTTTATCAATGTGTACGCCACTGGTGATGACTCGGGTTGTCCAAAACGTTGCTTAAGTCAGTTCAATTCATTTCTTTATTTGAATGCGCTAACAGGAGCCAGTTACAGCGTCGCCACACGAAGGTAATGTAAATACATTCTCCGATACACTTCGCTATATTCTGATGGGTTTTTTCAAGTAACGCAGATAATAATTCGTATTAATGGAATCTATATTTTGTGAAATGTGTTCGTCGTTTTGTACGACGATCCGCTTTCTTCAAGTAAGTGGATGAAGTTTGAACTGAAGTTCTTGTATTACATTGGGTCAGTACGGAGGAGAATTAAATTTGCCCGTCGTCTCTTATTGTGGACCCATTATACCAAATTTAACAGAATTCTATCAAGTAATTTTGTGCATAAAATATGTGGATCGATGGTGAAATATGAATTCCATATTAAGTACTCATTTTTGCACTTTGTGTAAAGAATTTATAGATATGGTAATTTATTATCTTCATGATATTTTGCTGTACTGGGCTGTAAATATTGCATGAGGAACGAATGGATGTGAAGTGTGATCCTTTTTTTAAAAAAATGTTACGTACTTGTGGGTTATCGGCACACATCGCTATAAAAATAGGTTAGGTTAGCTTAGGTTAGGTTAGGTTAGGTTAATGTGTGTGGGCAGCAATAAATAATTGAACGAACTAACAGATAACAACAACCCTAACCTAAGCCAACCTAACCTATTTTTAAAGCGATGTGTCCCGATAACCCACAAGTACAAATGTTCATTGTGAATGGTGTGCAAAAATTCAACTATTGAATTCTGCATTATGTGTTCATCATATATTATGTATTGCGACGATGTTTTGCGTGTTTTCACCTTTTTATATTACGAAGGAAGAAAACATTTTTATAATGATAATTGTTGTTAATTGCACTTAAGGGCACTAATTGCTCCCCAAATGTTGTGAAACATTTAAATGTGAAAAAAATATATAACTGGGAAAAAGTGGGTTTATTTTTGATGTCCCATTGTTTTACCTCAGGTGACCCATTTGACTAGTGTTTAACGGGGGGGCTTCAGAACAAATTTACAGTGTACTTCTTCAAAATCCACTGCTTGCTATTTTCTTTCTTTTAATTTTGAGAGTCCTCCATTTTCTCAGCTAAAAGTTTCTTAAAAGATTTTGTAAATGGTTGTAGAGGCACAAAATTTATCTTTAATTTTACGACAGCAATTACATATTCCTGTGGTTTTATTATGTTGTGTCATTCACACTGTGAATCGAAGAAAAATTTCCCCAAAAATAAAATATGTGCAATAATTACCTTAAAATAAATAATTCAGGCCTGAACGGTGGCATTCAAGTCTTTGGGTTTTTGTGTCACGAGCATCCACACGTTTTCAGATGTCTCACGTCGGTGAACGTCTTTGTACGTATGTACGGCGACTTGACATTCCTGTTAAAGCAACGAAAAGTCAAAATTTCATATAATATTCTTCAGAAAAAATTTCCAAAAAATCATAATCATGTCCAAAAAAAGTGTAATATCATAATTTTGTTGTAATAAGGGTTACATACCATCCCAAAATATGTTTGGAACCAATGTTGGTGTTCAACAGCCATGTTTCTGTTGGACGGTGCATGGTTTATCACGAGTCTGCAATTGGGCTGGAACAGAGGAACAACACATCTTAAGAAAGCGACGTTTAACGTGTCGAGACGGTTCAGTATTATGTAGTAAATATGACCTTCAGCACATACAAAAAATGCTTTTTCTTTGTTTTGGCCACATGTTTCGGTGCGATCATACCGTATCACACATACAATAAATGTTTTTTCTTTGTTTTGGCTACATGTTTCGGTGCGATCATACCGTATCAACTTCTTCGAACTGCGCGTTTAACTCGGCCTCGTACATATGCCACTTTGTAACATTCATTTTAATTCTAACCTTAATTCGGTTTCAACTATAAGTCAATTGAAAGTCTTAATTAATTACTACATAATATTAAAATAACACACTGAAATGCGTGTATAAATGTGACTCAGTAGCCAATTAATTTATAAAGGTCTATGTTCTTACATGTGGTAACAATAGTCAAGCAGCCACATCAATCATGAAATAATTTTTGTAAAAATTTGTTCAGATTCAAATTATTAATCACGTTACTTGACTAGTCATTAGTAAATTTAATAGACTGTTTTTAATTTTAAAAATTATGGAACTTTTGAAAAAATAATACGGCCTTGAGATATGGGGAGTAGCTACAAATATACTGAGTTAGTACTTGCAGACAACTGAAAAGAGGTGGTCCTAAAGCAGATTAAGCATAAAAATCTGTCATGAAAACCATAATAGAATGTTTTTTAAACTCTTCCCCGGGTTTATATTAATTTTATTTAAGAGCATGTTATTTGTAAAATGCTGTGCAGGCGTACTGCGGGAATGGGTAATGTCAAGAGGGCGGTGAGACGGTCGGGTGAATTTTACTACCCCATCAGTAGCCAGTTGTGGTTAACCTATCAAACGTGGTGGTTCCTCGCAGTTGCCTTCCGCCATGTTGCTGTGTCGTGTTACGTAAGTTCTTGATATAAGTCCATTGACTTAATCTGATGATTAGTTTTCTTAGCAGTATGTTTGTTTAAGTTGTATTTTAAGTAGTGTGCAGTGGTCTGTCAAACTTGTGTATACTTCCTTACCAGTTCTGTAATTTCATTTCCGGTATCCCATTAGCTATTAAGAGGAATCGAAGGCTGGTTTGATAGAATACTATACTGAATAATTAATTGTGTAGCTATTATATAATTACCTGATACTGCTATTTTTAATATTGAGTTTAATTCTTCATATTACGTATGTTTTAAAATAATCCAATTGTTGCAATCACAACCTTGTGCGAGGGACTCCGAGGCGTACAAATAGGTTAATGTTTGGTGTTTTCATTCAAAGTACTTTACTTTATATTATAAGAAACTATGCAGTTTTGCGCATATGTTATACCGGTTCTTTGGTCAGGGGTAAAATGACTTCGATTTACACAGATTGTTAAAAGAATGTTTTTGTTTGTTTTTTATTTTGAGCGTCACTTACTTGTTTTACGCTGAAATGGCTGGCGACAGACATGACAGAGACATTGAAAAGGGTGTATAAAGTCAAAAGGAGACCACAGGCCACATAAACTGAAAGACTTCGAACAACGTTATTTGACAGAACTGTTGTGACTTATTTTAAGAAGCAATCCTAGTATTTCCTTCTTTCGGAGTCGATATTCGAACGACACGACATTACGAAGACTGATAATTAGACCCAATGTTTAATTTGTTTTGCGTCAAACCGTTACCAAATGTAACTAGAAAATGTCGAAGTCTCTTGGTTACAGAAATCGTAAGTAGTGCAGTGTTCCGTTTAAGACGCAACCCTAACTACTGAATATGAACACCTCCACGCACAAAACGACGAAACCAATGACAATGTCGAATTCTTCCAGTCGTACCCCATTGTTGCAGCTAATGCACGGCCTTAATTTCAGGTGCGACCAATTCCTGTGCCCCTAATTTGTGTTACCAGTCGGTGCATTGTTGTCTTTTTCTGTATTTCCTTATCAGAATACGCACTTCACGAAAGCAGCAATTTGAGCAGTACCGTAGCAACCAGGCCGGTGTTGGGAGAGTCTATTAAGCAGGGGTGTACCTGCTTCTGATTTGATTTTTGTGTAGTAGTGTGTAATGTTTGTTGGGTTATATTTTAAACGGCACGCTCTGTATAATAGCCGAGTACCAACACAGAAAGGATTTGCGAGATGTTTAACACTGACAGGAACGGGGCTGCCTTCGGTTTCCGGTCGTTGCAAGGGGTCCCAGCAGAGGGCTCGCCAGCGGCAGTACGTGTTCCGATGCGAAGTGAGGCTCAGCTCCGGGTACCCCGACGGTCCCACTTGCGAGTCTAAACGTCGTACCTCAGACTGCACGTATAGCTCCTGGAACATTTAATTTTCCTCGTCACATGGTAACGTAGACGAAAAGTAAATTATCACCGTATGTACGAAAAAATAACTCGAGAATGGCGAAATGGATTGTTATGGAATTTGATGTTGGGAAGTTTTGAGAAAAATTGTCAAAACTTTTCAGTTTTCGGCTGAAATATTTTTAAAAAAAAAATAACAGATTCGCGCATTAATACCTTTGTGTCTGCGGTCTGGTTGGGTAATGACGTCATGTTACGTGGTGACGTCAGCGCCAAATCGCATGCTTCAAGGACACGGGACGGATTTCACACCCCCTCCCCCCTTAAGCGCGGCACCAAGTCACGAGTACAGCTGTACTGGCCTTGCTACGCAACGAGTTCTGACCTGTCTTCAGTCGCGTGGTCTCTTGTTATTCGTGTTGTACCGTGGTAGGACATGGACCTCGTGACGATTATTTAACAGATATTTCTACAATCACGTTTTAACTTATTTACAAAACTGTACTTCCATATTCGCTGCTGCACCACACTGTTTGGTGCACGTGCACTGGTCTAAGGACTAAGCCAAGTGTCCATTTACGATAAGGATTAAAAACTACAAAAATATTTTCACATACAAAGTTGTTAGCGGGTGTCGAAGCTGTCCCCCGTTATCCGCGGTATAACGAGGCCCTACCGCGGTTCAGAACTGTGTCCCGTGACGAGATTTGGTGTAGCGGTATCAGCGAGTTGGTATTTCAGAAGACATATTTCCTATTTGTCTTCTCTACCAGAAACAGACTCCTGTCCGTGTTACATGCTTAAAATTATAATACAGTGGGCAATCTTCAACGAAAGGCGAACTCATCAACGGCTTCCTTTTGATAGTCAGTGGCAATGAATGTCGAGAAACTGCTGTGTCATTCTAAAAACCTGTTTCGTAGATAAAGCCCTCAACGTGCTTGGTTACCTTAGCAGTTAGATCGTCTGCCTCTGTCTGCAAATATTCAATGTAGCGATCGTAAATGCCATTGAAAGAATGTAATCAATCGGACAAACAGTTTCGTAGTCACAATGACACGCCGAGTCTGGTGTAAGCCTTTCTAATTTTACATTTTGCCTCATTACTGAGAATTTGTTTGCCACTGCGGAACTCAATCTTATACCCCCGAAAGCAAGAAAACATTAAAATTATTCTGGCATAAAGCAGAGTTTATAATGCATCAAATTTTATGGACTTACGTACTTTCTATTCAAGGCATTTTTCTTAGGTAAGTTTAAAATATTTACTCAAATCCTCATATAATATGAGAATTAAAATGAATTGACGTGAATAAGAAATACGTGTGTAAAGAAGTGTTATTTTTTTTATGTAACCATGGGAACGAAAATTTTATTGTAACGACGGTGGACTTAGGGTTTCGAACCCAGTACCTTCCGAGAGGAGAAACGCAAATAGGGCTTCACATATGGTGCCTCCTGTTGTCCAAAGCGACGAATTTAATTAACACCCATGTATGTAAAATTTATTCATAATTCCTTCAGTCACTATCGATTTACTACACGTGAGTTCAGGTCCAATGTCAGATTGAATTCTACAGACATTTTAATCGTAATTTTTGAAAATAATTTTAAATCTACGCAGGTAGTTTGTCATGTGTTTATATAAGTGGACCTCAAAAGTATTGGGGTTAGCTTTTGAAGCCAATTAATTCGTATGTAGCGAGGGTTGAGGGTTAAACCCCCCACTGAGCAGTCCTGCACCTACTCTTTTGAAGGGGGGGTGTTACCCATATGAGGCGTTAACCCAAGATAGCACAAGTTATTTAATTCTAGATTTACGAGAATAGCGATTGGGCCTTTCACATTGGAAGATTTGAGGTTCTCACGGCGACGAGTATGAAGATGGCAACCTTCTGAGTTGTTGTGTCACAGTCTGGTAGAAGTTTACCGACGGTCCTGATGATGGAAGCAGGAAGTCCAGTTGAAACATCAGAAAATCGTGTTCGACTACACGACTCAACAACGCAGAAGACAAGAGATCTTGGTCTATCACGCATTTAGACTTTTCACTTTACGTCAGTGGCGTGGTGGTCATCGTGAATAAAGGTAGACTTAATGCGCGTGTTGATCGAGTAACTTTCGCTAACTATGTGGAACGTGGTAAAAGCCTGCGTGGTGGCGACCTTTAGTAATAGAGAAAGCCGGTATCTTCTTTAGGGGAGTGGATCACCTACTTGTAAGCAAAAATAAAGAATTATACAGCCCCAACACAGACTTTACACAACAAGGATAAATCTTGAAATAGTTATTGTAACTCGGTTTTAAAAAAAAAAAATTTTCGAATCTAAATTCTCAAAATACAAGACGTTTATGATATACGAACCCATAATTTTGCCACTTATTTTGTATGGATATGAAATATGGTCTCTTACACTGAGGAAAGAACACGAATTTCATGTCACTGGAAACTTGCCAGAAGGGAGTATGAACAAATTTGCATAATCGGAGATATATGGGTTTAACAATGCAAAATACTGAGATGTAAGTCATTCCATAAATGCGTAATGCTGATGTATACAGCGATACAATTACATATGGGCGTATGCACATTTGTCAACCAAACCATGTCTGAAAACAAAGTGATCGGGTGAATATTTTAACCTAAGCAAAATACATGATGTGATTAATTCATGGTGTTTTAAGTACGATCTTAGTGGTTTATACAGATCACTTATTATGAGACGAGAAACGTCCGATGGGTCGAAAACGTAGCACGCGTGGGGTAGACAGATTCTGCGTTAAAAATTTAGGTGAGGGAAACTTTTGGAAAATGTCACATGGAAGACAAAGAAGGTGATGGGAGGACAATGTCAAGATGGATCTTAAAGCAGGATTGCGAAAAATGGAGGTGGATGAATCTGGCTTAGAATTGGCCAGTGACGGGCTCGTGTTAAACCTTCTGCTCAGTCAATGACATAATCGAAATCCTTACTCAAACATACACTAAAGAGTTAAGTTATTAATTTGTAATACGTGCGTGTTAAAAGGTTTTAAAGTACAGAATTGAATTATTTCTAAGGTCTTCCGTGAGCAAAGTCAGTTTCTGGTCTGATCAAGGAAGTTAATTACGACGTTTCGGTGACATGAATGTGTCTCGGACGTCAGGTAAAACTTGTTCTGCTGGTCCTAATCGATACAGCTAGTCACGATAGACTAAATTTTACCTGAGGGCTGATACAGATTGCTGTCTCCGAAACGTCGTTTTTAAATTCAAATTAGGATAATGGTTAATGTCTAAGAAATGTTAAAAGTTCGTATTTTTCCTTGGTAATCAGAACACAAGGCATCAAACAGCAGCGTTTTGTAATTTATGTTTTCAAGGATGTAGACTGTTAGCTGCAATATATTTCTTCGTAAAGTGGTTTTAAATAGAAGGAAGAATTATTGCTTGCAAAAGTAGTTGTCCTATTTGAAAAGCGAGGCAACTGTCGGTCATTACGTACCCAGTGCACTCAAGACAACGTCGTTAATGATTAGGGCAAAATATAACATTGTTTGTCACTCATAATAGTGATTCAATTCCAATAATTCATAAAATTTAAAGAATATACAAACTGGTGACTAACTGACGAACTAAATGGGGTAGAACCCTTGTCTAAAAGCTACGATCAGCTAAGTCCTGCGTTCCCTCAACCTATGGTACGCGAACTAAGTAAGAAAATAAAAAGATAACATTAATATAAATAAGTTTTCCCTGAACGCATTTGGTCAGTGGTACATTTAATGTGTTAAATTAGAATTTTAGTGGTACGCCAGCGAAAAAGGTTGAGTACCCCTGTGCTAGTCAATAAATTCCCCGCCTTTTATATAACCCAAATGTTCATCGCCGTGTTCACAAGAGCCAGCCAGTGGTAACTATCCTCGTGAAGATGAATCCTCTAGTCACACTCAACTCTATTTCCTGATGACTAAGTCTTCCGACTGGCCTCGCCTTTCCAGGTCTCTGAAACTAAAATTTTGTACGCATTTCTTATCTCCTTCATGCTATGTCTGACCGTAATCTTCCACCAGGAATTGTTCATTTGTCCGAAAAATTCGTAGCTATCAATTCATGTTAAATATAAATGAACAGGATTATAGTTTTGTATGGGTATGAAAATCGGTCTTTTATGTGGAATGAAGATCACAGATTGAGGGTCTTTGAGGAATAGGGTGGTGACGATAATATTTTTTTCTAAGAGAGAACGTAAAGAGGCTGGGAAAACTGCATGATAAGGAACTCCATAATCTGTACTCGTCATCGCTTAACTAGGATGAATAAATAAATATGATATGCAGGGAATATGCCCCCAAAACAATTATAAATTTTCTCCAGTCAGGCCGGAGACATTTCAGTAACTTGTCTAGGAAGAGAACAGAAGTTAATGAAGATCTAATATCAGCATTTGAGAACTTTTACTTTAAATTGTTTACATCTGTGATACAAAACGATTTTCCTGTCTTCTAGGTTTGTTGCACCGTATTGTCTGGTGGAATTTTCCCGACGTTTCAGAGTTACTCACCGCTTTTATCAACAGGACGATAAGTTTTCCATCGCCCTGATGATTGAAGCAGAAAAGTACCTCTGAAACGTCGGCAAACCCACCACACAACACGGTGCAACAACCCAGAAGACAGCCATGTTCGAAGTCGCCGCTGAGAGAACCTGAAATTTCGCTATTGCAACAATTTTTGTTTTCATATGTACCAGATTTACGAGTACAGTGTTCAAATCACATTATTAAATGACTGTAGACGTACGTAATATATTATTTATATATTTGTCACCGATGTAAAATATTTTATTAAAATACCTTACGATTTATTTAAAGACGCGTCGAATGATAAAATGTTTAATGAATTGGAAAGGATGTGGAAGGAAGCGGTCGTGGACTAATTTAAGGTATTATCTTGGTATTTGTCTAAAGGGATGAAGGAAAATCTCTGTCAGAACCACTGCTACCCTACGCCTCAAAATATATGTAACCAATCCGACGAAAACCTCTCGGCCAGTTCTGGAGAGAAGTCCGACGTTTCGGAGGCCTTATCCACATCCATCATCAGAGCACTGACTTTACCCCTGGGGGGAAAAAAGCCCCCGGTACTGATAATATACGCGGTTTGATGGGCTTCAAAGCAAAGTTTCGACGTATCGGAAAACATAATATATTTTGTACCAGTCCTAAAAATTATTTGTTTTTACACAGAAAAATTTGATTCCTTCAATAATTTTCAGGACCAAAAGATTTCCACAGTTAACAAAACTTTGGAACCTTTACTGAAGTGAAATGTTTTATGACAATATTTGTTGGTAAATTAATGTTAATTCAGGAAGTCAGATACAGCCATTTTTGTTATGTTTTTAATGAAAACGTGCCTGCAGGCTTGATTTACGATTAGGCCATACGTCTTTGAGACATTCTGTAATACAAACACAAATGATACAGAATAACTCCACTGTGATTTGTATTCCTTAAGCAATAATACCTTTAAAAACAAGCAAAACGACTCGATTAAAGTTAAACGTGATTGCGATATATTGTCCGTGTGTTACTTAGTATGGACGCACATCTCGCTTACCAGATTCCACTGCCTGTCAGTCTGTGAAGAAACTACGCGATTCGTTCTTCAACTTGTTTTCTAGATGTGTTTCTATTTGCTGTAAGCTATAAAGCCATTTTTGCAGTCCTAGTCTAGAGCAAATTCCTTTCCGTCTTCAGACCAGCAAAGACATGCACATAACATTTTAACCTTGAATTATACGTTAATGCACTGTAATGACTGTCTGTTGCGAATCAGAAATCCTTTATTACAGTTCAAGTACAAATTCCACGTAGACGCCTTAACATCCGAGTAGGCAACCGAGCAGAGCGGGTCTTTGGGACCGTCGCCCAAGGGAGTTCCAAATTAACTTCGGCGTACAGTGAAAAGTTATTAATCTTTTATATTTTGTCTACGGGAATCAAATTATGAACAGAGTTATTCTATGTTTTTTTTAATTCCAATATTTTTCGTGTCCGTTCCTACACTTCACACAGAACCTAGGGTACGTTAACCCTTCAAGGTTCAGTGGTAACTATGTGTACCAACCCCACGTGTTGCCCGAAGATTGTATTTATGGGTTCCGTGTCATTATCAGCGTAAAGAAACTATTATTTATATACCCACTGACATTTGTAATGGAGACGAGTTGTGGTATTCATCGCCCTGATGATGGAGGCAGTATGACCTCTGAAACGTTGGTTAACATCGACCAGACTACACGGCGCAATAACCCAGAAGACAGAAATCTTCATACTCATCGCCCTGATGACGGAGGCAGTATGACCTCTGAAACGTTGGTTAACATCTACCAGACGAAAGAGATCTTCTAAGATTTATATATTTTTAGATGAGCTTAGGCTTAAAAGATTTAAAAATCATATAGTCTTCCATACACATGGAATTGTCATATTAAATTGTTAAAGTATTACGAATTCACTGTCGATCTTGTGATATCGAATATCGAAAGTTTCGATTTCTTTTATTTTTTTTTTAGTGATATTCGTTTATTATTATGGTCGCAGAAGATTTTCTCGGGGGAATGTTGGATGCAGTGTCCATCGCTTATAAAATATAAGGTAGAACGAGGAAAAAATAGTTTCCATGGTTACTGCAGTGTGAATCAGCGAATTAGAAGGTGGTACTCGCTAATTAATTCGCGTGTAGGAAAATGAATTTTCATATTTTATTCGAATAATTTTCATGTCGCGTGTTTATCGTGACAGCTTTTAAAAAATGTAGCCTGTAGATGGAAGTTGTGTAGGTGGACACGAGGCATTCTAAGTTTTGGAAACTGTTCCACCATGTTTGTTCTGATCACAAGGGCGAAGCGTCTGTGCCATCGTTTTAGGATAGACGTCAGATCGCGGAGGGTGGATAGATGACTTGTTTTTCCATTACTTTTAATGAAAGGACAGACTACACATTCAAAAAGTTACTGATTATGTTCGAGTGTTCGTTTATATTTCTAGGACGATCTGATATGCCAAATACATACAAGCAAAAGACTGTTTAAAATTGAAATCATTAACCGTGATATAAGGCCATTTGTAGACCGTGGTAAGTGGTTTTACCCTTGTACCAAGTTGATTTTAGAAGCAGCTGTCATTGGCGTAAAATCGAAAATTAAAAGTAATTTTAAGTGCTTACGACAGGCATTACAGACGGATATTTGTAGTACATTAGTGGAACAGATTGACAGTTGAGATCTGATCATGGCAACAACACTGCCCTAGCCTAAGCTTAATGAGATCGTATCTGCGCATGTCTAATTTGCATTCGCAAACCTTGCAAAGATGAATATATATGTATCGACAACCTGCCTTGCCATCTGTAATTTGTAGTTTCAGACATCAAATTTTTTTATATTTTCTGTAGCATTCAAATCATAAAGTGAATAAAATTAATCTGTAATGTGGAGATTAGACTCTCCTTCTACTTGCGTATTTTAAACAACGCAAAATATCTCAATGACGTTTCATACCTACCCTTCAGACATTTCAGGATCTGATCGGCGAATTAAAGATGTGATCTGTGGTATTCTGGGTTGGGATGTGTTATATTGTAAGTGATTACCGTCGTCTTGGAGGAACTTCGTCTTCATCTTCAGGGTCGATTCTAATTTTTGTTTTGATTGTCTGTAGTAAAATATATCGGTAAAACTTTATCGTACTCCATATTGGTTCAGTACCTTCCATAAAGTTAAAACTTCACTTCAAAAGTAATGCACCATTTTTTTTTAAAAAAAAATCAATTTTTATTTTACAAATTTGCTATTCACACAGTGAATAGGTACAGCCTTTAGGGACAAAATTCTACTTTTCCGTCCCTCTCAACTGTGACCCCCGTACTTCGGTTTGTCATACGAACAATGACAGTAACTAATTTATTAAAATTATTAATCTGTTTCTTGAATTCAAAAAGTGAATAGATATTATCGAAGCCTCGAGACTACGTAAGTTCGTTATGTAAATACAAAGTAAAATTAATATTATTTTTTTTCAATGTCAATACATCGAAATTGAGCTCTGACGGTGGGGACTCTGGTAGCAATAAATGCAAACAACGCTATAATGGCGCCTGTGGTAGGCGGAGTCTACGTTTGACGGGAGTCTGGCTTTAGTCGCCGTGAAGATTCAAAAATAAATTCTATAAATTTCTTACTTTCAGTCGATTTGCAAAAAAATCAGCACTGTAATAAATTGAATTGCTGTTTAAAATGAAAAGGTTCATTCCCGTCAGCTTTGACGGGTCATACGCTAGTCTGTTAAGAAACATTACCACTAAAAGTTGCGTGACCTCCATCCTCTGAGGATCATGGATCGATGCAGGAAATCTCCAGGGCACAAAATTCTACCACGTGTTCATGCCTTGATTTATTAAACGACACTGTGCCTACTGCTTACTTTATGTAGTATCTGGGAAGGTATCACGCCATGAACATGTATGGGGGGAAATGGAGGTATGCCAGAAGCTCCACGCATTCTGAACCTCGGCACTAGAAGGGGTCGAATGTTCAGCTTCACACCCCCACCCGTCTTACCCTTGAGGCAAGACATCCTGTAGCACCTGGATAGAAAACAGGGTGAGCCCTAAAACCTGTCTGCACGTTGGCTCGGCGATATCCTGGTAGGAATCTAACTCCGGTCCCGTATTAGTATGTTGTTAAGATAATTTGGGAGTCACTGAGTAAAACAACGAAAAACTTCAGTCAGGATGACCTGTAGAAGAGATCTTAGCCGAGTGCTACCTCGAACGCCAGTCAGGTCCCAATAAATTAATCCTATTGTGGTCGCAAAGTATATACGAGCTTGAGCTAAGTTACAGTAAGATTGGAGGGGAATACGGAAAGGAGAAGGGAATCAAGACGCGTTATGGGCTATGGATCCCCCAACTTCCGCTTAACTCCTCTGGCTGGCCGCCATCTTGTGTATTTGTAACGGTTAACGACGCTCGTAGATACCTTGCGGCAAGTACAGAGCGATCTAAAAGTCACGCATCCCATTTGCGACACACGTTCTGTTTGTAAAAAAAAAAAAAAACAAAAAAAAACAACAACAACAACAACAACAAAACAATAAGATCATGTTAATTGCCCAAAGCGTTCGCTCACTGTCTTATGTTTAATGCAGCGGAACGATTTCTGCCCTGCAAGCTTCCAGCGTCACGGAAATTGTTGATTTGTTATGCAACATTAAATCGAGAAATATATCCCTGAACTCATTCTTGTAAGTTATTAATCCGACCAAAATGTGTTGAATTTCAACCACAAATAAATATTTTAATATGGGGTTTCTTGACTTTTGATTAACATTTATACAGTTTGTAAATTCACGTGCATGTAGTAATTATAAAAGGGATTGCTGAAAATTTCTCTGGTGATCTTGAAGGTCACGAAGGTTCACCCTTACAATTACAGAAAAGATTGTGAGAAAAATACCGAAATTCGTAACCTTAATAGCCCATGTGAAATACACAACATGAACTTAAGACACTTGTACCATTGTTCCTTAATGGCATACTCACGTGTCCTGAGAGATTTACCACGGGACATAAGTTGAAATCCTGGCCGAACTTCAAAGGTTCTCCATCTCGCTTGAGACAATCCCCGCTGAAACAAAAATGAGGCCGTAATTGGTACAAATTCACACGGGCCAACGCATTTGTTCGTATCGCATCCAATTAGACGCAAACAAAGACAAATCTTTCCCACCGTGTTGGAGGGAATTGTTCACATCAGGAACCTGCTCATAGAAAGAATAGGTTAACATCCTCGAGTATGCAAAATCATAATGAAATAAGTATGTGTCTCGCAATGGTAACTGTAGGCAACGTTGCTGGACTGCGTAAGAATCACAAAATATTATAATAAAAGTTTTCAAATTGTGATTCATGGAACTGTATTGTTTTTTTTATTATTATTTGTAGTGTTCTGTCTGACGACAGGTCCATATGAACAGGATCCTTCCATCCTTTTCTCGGACTGGGACCTGTTCATATACGTTCTTGGCAGATGATCCAGAAGTGCTTTGCCATTGCCTTCTTCTGTGTGTGAATAGAGTAATTGTTGGGATGCCACGGAGAAAAACTCCGTGTTGCCTAGCCCACGGCCTTACCCAACACAAGTTATAAATTCGGGCACCGCCGGAAATCGAGGGGTTTCTTTGCCTGTAAAATCGAGTGGTTAACACTCGTGATTAGTTTTCGGAAGGCCCCGGGGTTCAAATCTCTGCCGGGAGAATCCTGACTGGGGTTTCTTTCGTGGTCTTTCTCAGTTAATCCAGGCAAATTCTGGGAATTAGGCTTTCATCCTCTCATTCGATGCTATTTAGTCTGATCGTCGTTAAATAAACTATATGTAAATAAATAATTTATTCGCACAGTTACTTTTAAAACAGACGGCGTAAAGTCCTCGGATGTACGAAACAAAAGACATCTTTCTGTACTGTGGTTTTCCTGCAGTCCATGTTCATAAAAATACTTCCTTTTTTTTACTTCTGGTTGAAATATTACGAACTACAGAACAGCACTAACACCTCCATTAAGATTATCTTGTACGCGAAAACATTTTATAGCAGTGGATATCTCGGTCAAAAATCTTTATAAACACCTGGGGATATCGCTGTAGAGGCTTTACCCTTCCTGCTTTTTATGACAGCAATTTCGTATCCTTACATTTTTATTATACTGTTAGCAGAGTCACCTACCAGCAGAATTATCGACTCAGTCTGGACGTTTTGAAGAGCAGAGGTTGAGAGAGTTGAGGTACGCCGTTAGAAAACCATTAATTCCTAGAACAGACATTCTGAGTTGTGTGTTCCGTTAGTGCGTATACTGTAATGCAATAATAATAATACTCACGTTGGCATAAAACCTGTATTCCTCGTCTATCTTCAGTCCTGCTTCCTTCTACACACACACACGATAACCGCAGATTATACAATGTCCCAAAAATATGTATACATATTTTTGGGACAGCCTGTATACGTAGCGTGAAATGACAAGTTGGTTTAACGGAAATGTAGAAGGGAGCTGTCGTGGTATAATTTTAACACTTTCAAGTCCAGTGGTAACAATATTTACCACTGGCCTAATGATTTGCAAAGTATTTTGTACTCGGGACATCCAGGAGCACAGCTAGAGTTCGAGGTCTTCCTCAGCCCTTCCAGGTCAATGGTATGAGAATACCTAAAACACGTAATAGTTTCCTTCCACTGCCTTAACTACATATTACAATGGCATGGTACGATGTCGTTAAACAAACAAGAAACAATGTCAGTTTATAATAACAATTTTGAGTTTTAAAGACTTGTAATAGGCAAATTCGATCTCCTGAGGTCACAGTTAGCAACCAAGAAATATTAGCAGAGAAATATTTATAGGTCTAATAGACCCTACGCGTAACTAACTACGTGGTAGAAGAACCTCTTCGTTCATCACCGCTAATAGCCCGTCATCGGGTCCAATCCTGAGCCAGTTCTGTCTTGGCCGAACGCTTATCTCCACGTAACTTGTAATACTTAAGTCAAATTATTCCATAAACTTAAGAAGCTGTGACTGTAATTTTTACGGAAGGAACACATTTCCTATACCTCAGTTACGACTGGAATTGCAATTCCGAGTTTCCATTTTATTTATTTAGTGTTCTGTCTGAGGACAGGTCCATATGAACAGGATCCTTCCATCCTTTTCTCGGACTGGGACCTGTTCATATACGTTCTTGGCAGATGATCCAGAAGTGGTTTGCCATTGCCTTCTTCTGTGTGTGAATGGAGTAATTGTTGGGATGCCACAGAGAAACCGGGGAAGCCCCCGGAGGAAAACTCCGCGTTGCCTAGACCACGGCCTTGCCCAACACAAGTTAAAAATTCGGGCCCCGCCGGGATCCTTCCATCCTTTTCTCGGACTGGGACCTGTTCATATACATTCTTGGCAGATGATCCAGAAGTGGTTTGCCATTGCCTTCTTCTGTGTGTGAATGGAGTAATTGTTGGGATGCCACGGAGGAAAACTCCGTGTTGCCTAGACCACGGCCAACGTTCTAACCGCTAGACCACCGTGGCGGTGAGTTGCCATAACATCCGATAAATTCCTCGAGCTTCTTTGTTTCACCCATTAACTTCCGATTTTGAAAAGAATGTTCATGACTAAGGAGTACGAAATCCTTTGCACAAAATCACTTACCCAATAAGGGCATTAATTCGACGTGAATTTATAAAGATGTGAATTTTTCAGACGCAGTAAATGTTTGCTTCTGGGGGAAAAAAAAAATTTTGATTCGTCTGTTGGTCTCTTTTTGAAGGTTTTAGATTGAAATTGTTCCAGATTCTTGTATTCGCGTAAGACAGTTCATTCTTGTTGGTCGTCGCGATTACGTAAACCCATCGAGTCAATGAACCAAAAGTGAGTTTTCAATTTTCAAAATTTGATAATCATGGACTACAACGGTTATTAATGTGTGGTAACCCATGAGAAAAACTTTTACTTTGACATTGAGGATAAAGGTTGTGAGGGGGGGAATATACAAATATTGTAAAAAAAATATAAAAGGATTTAACTCAACATAACAAAGCCTTTTCGAACTGACAAATTTCTAGCTACAGATTTACAGCCATTGGACTTCCAAGGTCAAATATTTTTTCCTGAGTAAAATTTTTTGCACAGTAAGGAGGAATATTTAACGTAGGCCTATATACTGTACGCCTTTCAAAAAATCCCCAGGAGGATATAAACATTACGTGTGTAACTTGAAAGACGCTGGTATAAAGTAAATTGTGGATCTTCTCTGGCGTTTTGTCCTTCACCACAGAAGGGGGGGAAAGTCCCCCGGTTTTTCTTTGCGGTCACCGGTCAAAGCACTGACTGCAGATAAACATCCTTCATCAGGAAAGCTAACAGTAAGAAAGTTCCCACAGGCTTCTCACGCAACCAATTTAAACGGCCCGTTGAAATTCAACGGAGAATTACTTCATTCTTATCTTCATATCTTCCTTTCCTTTATTCGTTCCACGTCTTTATCTCTTCCCCCTTCGTTTCTACCTTATTTCTTTAAATTTTGATCACTGGTCTGCAACCTGTGTGCCGCGATATTTTCGTATTAGAAATTTTACATTCGCGTGTTATAATTAAAAAAGCAGTGTCTTTTCCCCATAAAACACATAAACGTACGTTTCATCTTCGATGACTTTATGCAACATGCATAACAGGGCATGGAGAAACATATTTATGACCACGTGCAGTCTCGAACCCCCAAAATTCTGTGGTGTGCCGTCATGTATATGACAAATTAGCGTGTGCCGCGAGTTAATACTTTGAATTAAGAGGGACAAATATCCTAAGTCCTTTAACAGTTTCTGTCGCCTGTATTTGAAGTACGATACTTCTAAAAGCTATCAATCACTTGTAGAATATTTTTTTTTTATATTTTAACTTTAATATTGAAGTTTTATACAGACCTAAGCTGTGTTACGTTATTTAACGTTTTATCTCGAGGTCAGCAACTCTGTGTCTCCTCTGTGACGAAACAAACACGTAAATTATTGTTTCACTGAAATCTTTTATTGCTTATGATTATACTAGGAAAATTAAATTAAGTATGAGATGGGCGGGATATGTAACACGCATGGTGGGATGTGAAGTGTGTAGGCCTGCATCAATTTGATCACAGAACCCCACGTGTTATAAAAAGGAGCAAATTTTATCCGAAAATTTGAATTGCTTATTTGAAAATGCTGGTATAAATATTACGTATTTAAGAATTAAGTCCGTACCGCGAAGAAAACACAACTCTTCACCATTAAAAAGATCAACTGGTTAACCTTTTGAAGTCAAATCTCGTCTAAATATTACGTATTTAAGGATTCAGTCCGTACCGCGAAGTAAACACAACTCTTCACCTTTAAAAAGATCAACTGGTTAACGCTGTTTAAGGAAATAATCGCTGTTTACAGAAATAATCATACAAAATCCATAAATAAAAACTGGAATGGTTATTGATTGTTGAAACAGGTGGTACATATAATTACCACTGGGCTTGAATAAAATATTGGAGAAACATGGTGTGACACAGATTGGGTTAATTTTGTTCCGGGTATCGACCAACAACGTGACCTCGTGAACACAGCTGACATTTAATCACCGGTTAACGTTTCAAGGAATACACTATACCACGAGTTGTCAGCACACTAGGATCATCCTAGAAGCATTCCTATGGTTTGTTATTGTAGTTTCTTTATTCCGTGAACAGCAAACTGTTTGAACAATGAATGCTTGCATGCATTTATATTAACAGCTTGTTCGAAGTAGTTGCATAGTGCCGTAGCTCGTGAGAGACAAGCTAAACAAATAGGAAGAACACTTCTTTTGAAGACTAGTTTAAAAGGTGGTTAATGACTTGCTTTTTCCTGAATGGATTACACTGAAGAAATTCTAAAACCATGAATCGTCCGTCTTCTTATACGACGCACTCCTAACAGCGCACGGCTTGTAACAAATACGAGCCTCCAATCAGCGAGCAAGTTTGCGTTTCTGCGAATCAACGCGTGTATATTGAAAACGCGTAAAACGGAGTACCTGAGTAATGCACCATGAGAGACCTTAATTTTGTAGTAC